TTTTTTTTTAACTTTGTATATGGGAAACCTACTTAACGAGGTGATAAGAGCATCCCCGGTAAGTAGGCCCCAACGTCGAAGGCTCCATCTATTGGTGGGGAGCTACACCTGCTGGAAATCGGGTCCAGCGTTCCTATACAATGATGAAAATATATCTGCTGTAAATCAGGTCCAGTGTCTGTGTGCCATGGTGTGAATGTATGTGTTGGAAAACGGGTCCAGCGTCCCTATCCATCTGATCTATAGAACCTCGCAAACAAACTGAGATATCAATCCTATCAGGCGAAACCCTAATCATGATGTAATGTGAATTACATAATGTGATTTGTATCTGCTAGAAATCGGGTCCAGCATCCCTATACCATGTTGTGTAACTATATCCAACAGTCAGGAACTACCACTATATGTCTTTATTCTATATCTATCAAATTGTAAACACAAATCCAAAACGCAATATGATATACATGATCTTTGTCAAACATACCTAAGAAACAGAGTTCTATCAATAGTGAGAGATGTATGATCTGAACGTTAAGTTCAACACCCAATATGCATTATCATGTGAAACTATCAGGGGGCATTGATTACTTCCCTGCGCAGGGAAGGATTGACCTCCTGCTAACAAATCCCTAAGCAGCCCGCCGCCAACCAACGGGACGATCAGCCCCCCATGGATGATTGATATTGCAGGCCAGAAGGGGGGGAAGCAATAAACCAATTCTCCTTCATAACCCCATATCCCACCACGACCGCTTGCAGCATCACCCCCATCGCGCTGATAATAATATCAGATACGCGGATGCCGCTTTCTACCCCTCTGCGCCCCTGGTCATCTCCGCCGCCATCATCGTCGTATTGTTGTTGTTGTTGTTGTTGTTGTCACCCCTACCCAATCAAGGAATCAACCACAAATGAAAACGTAATCATCAAACCCCTCATGAGACCACATGATTAAGAGTTGGGGGCATGAGAGTTGAGAGTCAATCAGCCTAATGGACGAGGGGGAGGTCATCTATCCTACTCCCACCCGGTGCCAAAAAATGAAAAACGAATCAACATGATGAAACGCCAGGTAAGAATGGGAGGGAACGGTAATTCTCACCTTCAACCTCAACTCCCACCTCGCCTGTACCTCTGGTTGGTCTGTGAGACCAGCCCCTTGGCCTGTTCTCACAGACCTGTGTTGTATTCGGGGTAGTCCAGTCCAGGCCGGTACCTCTGTCGGTACCAGCCAGTCCAGTCCCGTCCAGTCAGTCCGCTGGGGTATACCCCAGGCAGAGTCTGTATTTCGGATCATTCTGCATTCGCACAGTTTTGGAGTACGTGCGTTGGAGTCTCGCGTGGGAGCTACGCTGTGCCATCTTGCTCCACTCTCATACTCCATCTCCATCTCTATCCCAGGCGGAGCACCACTCCCGGTGGGTCCGCCACACTGGTATCGGAGCGGGAACGTTCCCCGCTCCCACCCACCACACCACACAACAGGGAAAACAGCAAAACCCGACAGTGGGTTTTTTGGCTGTTTTTCGGCCATTCACAACGGAAAATAGAGGGAAAAAGGTGATGTGACTTGCAGCAGCAAAGGAGTGTCGCGCCAGGGCCAAGGCCGCCGCACACGCACGCGCCACGTGCGTGCCCATGCTGCCTCACTCCCGGATTATTTATTATCAAGATCCAGGATACTGCAGCTGCTAGGGTTCGAAACTGGGCAGTTGCTGCCCCTGCGCTTGTGTAACCACCCCTATAACACACTGGCCACAGTATGTGCATGGCTTAGCAAGGCGGCACGCTGCTGTTGAAGACGTGCCGTGCCAGCTATTTAACCCCCCACCCCCGTCGAGCACCGGCCAGCACAACAGCAGCGGGCAGGCAAACCCCCTATGTTCTGTAGATGTCTATCAAGGGGGGGACTACTACAGAACGTCCCACCCCCCAAGCCTTGGCCTTTCATAGGAGGCTTGCCTGCAGGGCGGGAAGCTTACTCGCAGCACCCAGTCATGCAGCAGGTCAAACAGGCTAGGCCCGACACTAGGGGGGCGTATGTGCCAGTTAATCAAGCCGTCTGTCAACCTAGTGATGCGTACCTCAATCACCTTCATAGCCCCAACCATCCCTATTACCCTTTCTTCTGCAAGTGCCCCCATTCTATTGTAGCCATTGTACTGCGTGTTCCTTCCTTGTGCGTTCAAGTGTCACTCACTGTTCTTTTTTTTTTTTCTTTCTTTTTTTTTTTTAACTCCCTGTTCCTTTACCCTTGCTTTGGCCTACATGTACCCTTGGTTTGGCCTACATGTCTTCGTATACCTTCATAACCTGCCTGGCTCCACACTCTCTCCACCCTTCCTAAAGTCTAAGGCCGTTGCCCTTTCAGAAAAGGAGGGGAAAAAAAAAGGGGCAACTTCAGTAGCATCACAAAAACGAGTTATAGTTGCACTATGGGCCAATATACAGTTTGCAATTGCACTTTGGGCACCCTACCGGGCTAGAAAGCTGGGTTGTATACATTGCCCAAACTGCAATTTGAAACTGTATCTTGCCAGGGCCGGTAGTGAATGCAGAAAGCCACTATGTACGAGCCTTGGAAGGTAGCTTTGTCAACTGCGGCTCATGTGAACTGGTGCTCTAGCGGAACTGGGCATGCTGTACTGAGGGTCAGTTTTTTTTTTTTTTTTTTTTTTTTTTTTTTTTTGGGGTTAGATTATGGCTGCAACTGGGTACAGGTTTCTTTTTTTTTTTTTTGCTTTTCCAGAAATCCTTGATGATTGTAGCCGGGAAACAGGCCTGGCCCCCTTCCATGCACTCCGTTCTGGTAGAAACCCGGGCCACAAAAACACAGGACCCACTGATGAAGTAGCTGGGTACAGTTGAAATTCTTTTATTTTTTTCCTTTTTTTTTTCTTTTTTTTTTGTCCTCTTAAAAAGCCCAGGTTGTTGTAGAGGCTGGATTACAGACGTATGAGAGTCACCTTCAGCACTTGGCCATGTGGTAGAGGCCCCCTAATCCTATAGGACTCCCTCCCAACCTACCTCTTTCGTAATTTCTCCCGGCGCACTCCTACTCCCACTATCCTACCTCAGTGTCTACCACTCAGGGTTGTCACCCTCCAGCCTTGGGGGTGACCTGAGCGAACCGTGGTTGTAGGTACCAGGGCTAAGCTGAGCCCCACACACCCCACTCAGCCCTGATCGAAGCATATTTGTGCGAGCCTTGTCGCCCAGGTGCTTCAGGTGCTAGGTACAGACGTTTCACTACAAGTCCCAATGGTGGACCTATTTTGCGTTCCTATCGTTGTGTACACAGCTGTTGTTACTGTTGTTTGTTGTTAGGTTGTTCACTGTGCACACTGTTGTCATTACTACATGTTTTTTGTTGATAGTGAACCGAACATAGGAGGCAGGCAACCCAACCAATCCTGTGGAGAGCCCCACCGGTGCAGTTGAAATTCTACAGTCATGCAACCTGGGTACCCTGATCAGCTTTTCTTTCTTTCTTTCTTTCAAAACAAAAAGATTTTACAAATCAGGGCCCACTGCCCAAGGCTTACAACAGTCGAGGACAACGGCGGGACCCATGGGTTCCTGCTTACATCTTTCTTGCACGGCCCTGATCCCACAAAGGATCAGGGCTGAGTATCGTGGCCTCCATGCAATTTACCCGCCCGACCCATCTTCCCACAGTTCAACTAGAATAGAAAATTAATGTCTTTGAAAGAGAAAGAAAAAAAAAGAAAAAAAGAAAAAAGAAAAAAAAGAATAGAATTTTTTTTAAACCGAAAAGCTGAAGTCGAATGCCCTGATGATCAACCTCAGATTAGAGGAAAGGAGGTTGGGAGAGGAGGAATTTGAAGGATTTATTCCGAAGTACGTAGAAGGTTAAGAGGTGGAAGGCGAGAGATATAAGGAAGCAGAAGAGGAAAAAACAGTCCAGATTGCGAAACACTCCTGATTTTCGTCTAGGAAAAGTGAAGAAATGACTGACCTCTGACGAAGGACAAAATGACTATAAACCACTGACCATTATGCTAGGCAGAGGGTCCCGCAGGCTACGACCAGAGAGAAGCCCTTAGCCAAAATTGGTGAAAGAGAAAACCGACTCTGCCGCGGTTTTGCTGACAGGACTTGCATGTGTTGTTGGCCTGCAGATTTGCTTATGCGATTGGTGCTGCTGCTGGACGCGTGCCTGAAGGAAGCACCAGCGAAAATCAGCAAATCCAGCAACCTGCGTCCACCGGAGCTCTCCCGGTTACTTATACTGTTTCTGGCAGTGGAGGCAGTGCCATCAGAACCAGTGACGTCCAAATGCATCTCCCGGTTACTTATACTGTTTCTGGCAGTGGAGGCAGTGCCATCAGAACCAGTGATGTCCAAATGCATCCCGGGTGAGTTACACAGCCGTGTCCTTGGGTTGATATCCGCATACCACATCCAAACCACTGATCTTCTTAGCCCATGAGACTATGCTGTTGTGAGGAAGTCCTCCAGTCATCGATGGTCAACATCTAAGGTGGCGGAATAAGATGCGGTTGAACAGGTCACATCCCAACTGTCTTGTGGGACGAAAACAAACCTCCCTGTGGTACCAACCAAAAACCGTTGGACAAGGCTTGATCGTGACTGCGGGAAACCTCGACCATCCATAGGACTTTAGTTATGACAAATGCACCACCAGTACTTGGCCCAGCTATAGGCCGTGGGAAAAAAAAAAGTAGAAACGTTTCTACTCGGATGAATTTGGGCGCTCCTGTAGTGACCCCTACATTTCCTAAAATCGTGGCTTTCGGAAGTACTGGTGGTTTAATGGGGACTGGGGGTTTTCGGCGGCAGGGGGACTGGTGGTTTAATGGGCACAACTTTAGGAAGTACTGGTGGTTTAACGTTCCTGCCTTAATTAAATGGCCCTTGGAAAGCGGCTGTAGAGAGAGCAGGCAAATTGGCCCAAATTTCTAGGAGGTGACTTGAAATTCCTAGAAAAATAATAGAAAAAAAAAATCCTAGAAAACGGTCCTGCGAGGTTGTTACCACTGAAACAAACAAACAAAAAAAAAAGAAGAAAAAAAGGTTGTTACCAGTCCTGCCCGGGGCCAGGTCCCACTTGCACGGATTAAGAGATTCTGGCCGTAGATAGCAAGGATCAACGGCCGAAATCTCTTAATCCGTGCAAGTGGGACCTTGCCCCCGGTTACATTCGGTCCCCCTGATCTGTTTTTCCTTCTGCGGTGTCCTTGTCCCCGTTCCCACCGAAAATGCCTATTGGAGGGCGGAGCGTAGGGTGTACTGGAAAGAAAACGGAGTGTAGGATTTTTGAATCACGATCTGTTTCTAGTGCGGGTGTGGGGCTGCCCTTGAGATTTTTCTCATCTCAAGTGAAGTGTGGTGGGACGAGCCCCTTTATTTTTCTTCCCTGCAGGTTCCGTCCAACGGATGGGCTACGCGTGTGCGATCTATTTACGCACCTTTTCAGCCCATTGCATGGCGAAGTAGCGGCGGGAGAAGTAGCTCCCGAACGCACCTTGTCAACTCCTGCGTCTGATATGTCAGCTGTCAGACCAGACCGCTCTTGCAGCTAGATTGCTTCTGACCATAACAGACAACTAGCTCTGTGCAGGACATAAAGCAGCGCAACGCAGGCAATCAGTCACTCTCTCTCTCTCCCTCTCCACACACACACACACATCAATTTGCACGCACATCACCACACACACACACACACACACACACACAACACACACACACACACACACACAAAATCTCTACAGACGCACATACACACACACACACACACACATATACACATGCATACACACATACATACGCATACACACACACATACATACACGTACACACACAAACTCTCTCTCTCTCTCTCTCTCTCTCTCTCTCTCTCCACACACACACACATACAAACATACATACACATACACACACACATACATACACGTACACACACAAACTCTCTCTGTCTCTCTCTCTCTCTCTCTGCACCCACACACACACACACACACACACACACACACAAGCAGTTGGACATAAGTTTTCAGGTCGGACGAGCAAGGAGTCAAGTTTTCTACGGAAAAAATCCGTTGAGGTCGAGAGCTCACAGCATTCTTTTGTTGTTGGGTCAGTCAAATGAATGTATTATCCAACCGGACCCCGCAAATCTGCTCGAGCTCAGGAAGCGAGAGAAGGAAGGGAAAGCTGACCTAACTTTAGCTCTCTCTGAAGACCCGAGGAGGTCCGTAAGCAACGAAGGCAGGGAGGGAGAGAAAGGGAGGCAGGAAGGAAGAAAAGGAAGGGAGAAAAGGAAGGGAGAAAGAACGAAATCCGAGGAAGAGGAGGGGAAGGAGGGAAGGATGGCGAAGTAAGGGACTCAGGAAGGAAGGCCGCCACGCCGGAACAAGTATCCGTGCCAATTTCATCAAGGCATTTGAACTGCCTTCCGACCCGATACGAAAATGGTGCCCTCCCAGTATAACCTACAAACTCCATAACTCCTCCTAATTAAAACCTACAATCTCTCTCTCTCTCTCTCTCTCTCTCTCTCTCTCTCTCTCTCTCTCTCTCTCTCTCTCTCTCTACCCACATCCTTCCCTCCCTCTGTGTGTGTTGACAGACAGATAGGCGTAAGAGAGAGACAGGGAATGTATGCGTCATGTGTACTGTGTTGTTCTTATTCATGTGCATTTGACTCTTTCTACCTTCTTTTTGTTAATCGATGCAATAATGGGGTACCAAGGGTGCGTCGGGGTGAATTGACGAGAGGAACGGTGGGTGGTTCTCTCTCTCTCTCTCTCTCTCTCTCTCTCTCTCTCTCTCTCTCTCTCTCTCTCTTTCTGTGTGTGTGTGTGTGTGTGTGTGTGTGTGTGTGTGGGGGGGGGGGGGGGAAGGGGGGGACCCATTTGCTACTTTTGGGAGGGCGAGAATAACTACTTGTTGCTTCCCGCCTTTTCCAACCAGATGGTCTGCTACCGCTGGTGGAGGGAAAGGACTCGGAGGGTACCCAGCTCATGTGGCTGAATGGTACATACTTGTAACCGGTGGTAAACAAATCGCGAGCTCACATCCTGATGAAAACAGATGAATGCAATAATGTCAGGTGCTACCCGCTTGGCCCAAAAAGTCAAAAAAAAAAGAAAAAACGAACAAAGAAAGGAGTCGGCGGGTGGGTGGTGCAAAAAGGTTGTGCGTGCTATGTAAGGAAATAGACAAACTAAGATATGCAGTTTACATTACCTCCGACGTCGCAGCAGCGCCGCCATGCACGGAAAAGACGACATGCGTAGAGCCTAGCGCATGTGAAAGCAATAACAGAACGGATGCCACTACCATGTGGAGTTTTATACCTGCAGTTACTTGTCTTTATTCTTGCACTCTGACCCTTCATTTGCATCTCGTTCCGCGAACTTGCTGCTTACGCCCCCACCGCGTTCGCCAGTAGATGGAAACAGCCACGGAAAGAGCGTGCATGAGGACGGGGAAAATGGGGACGAGGCAGGGGGGTGCGGGGAATAGGGACAAGAAGAAGGGGTGCACACACACAC